TAGAGGAGCACTTGCTTCGCCGGTTTCCATCCCAGCGTCTGCGGTCAGACGATAAAAACTCCAACTGAAGGCTTTTGCGATTTTTGGTAGTACCCGGGTTTCCCGGCCCAACCCTGTGGCCCCCATCGCCTCGCTTACCCCCCCCACCCCACGCAACGAGCTTCTCAGGATCCAGACCGTCCAGCCGCATGCTGTCGACGAACTGGTCGCGGTTGTTGTCGAACAGAAGTTTCGCGCAGTCCTTGGCGTGCAGCGGGTCGTTGGGGGGCAGGGGACTCGTGGCGTTGGGCTGGTACGTCCTGATGATGTAGCCCCCCTGCCTAATCTCTAGTTCGCAACGAACGCAAGGGAGCTTCCGCGCGACTACAGTTGTTCACTTAGACACGGATTACCTACGATTCAAACATATTTTCGACGAAGACCAGATGCGAAACTTCGTTGCTCAGCACCTACCGAACCTTACCAACGAATAGCGTTCTGTCTACGACAACGTCGTCCTCAACGTCTCCCAACGAAACGGCGCACCCTCAACCGACGACTTCATGATTGATGCGCCCGCTGGAACAGGGAAGACATATACGGATACACATAATATGTGCGCATCTTAGATCACTCGGAATACTTGTGCTATGCGTAGCAAGCACCGGCATAGCGGGACTCCAGTTGACACGTGGTTGGACTGCACATTCCACCTATAAGTTCCCGCTTGACGAAAAAAATATCTCGGGCGCAATGTGTAACATCTCCGCGGAAACACAACGAGCAGAGGTGTTGCGCAAATGCGACCTCATATTTTGGGATGAAATTCCCATGAGCCGTCGATTTAACGCCGAGGCTCTCCACCTTACGCTAAAGGACCTAATAGGAAACGACCTTCTAATGGGCGGGAAAACTGCTTTGCTCAGCGGAGACATGCGTCAAATAGGACCTGTGGTCAAGTACGGTGGACCGACAGAAACGATTGATGCTTCTATTATTTCAAGCCCACTTTGGCCGCACGTCCATAGAATGCGCCTGACTACGTCCCAACGTGATCGTGAGGATGCCTCATACGCCGCCTTTGTCCGTAATATATGACGAGCTGAGTTGGCTGGTTGACCCTTCGGCGCGAGAATTTTCAGACCAAGAACCCGAAGGTGCAACGAGGGAGAATCGAGGAACCGAATGGGAAGGACAGCAACGAGAGCGTGTACGGACGGAGCGGGTCGAGTTTGGTCGTGCTAGGACTGGCCGCAGCGACACCGGAGCAGCGGCATCGAGCAGCGGCACCGGAGCACACGGACGACATCGAATCGTGACGCACGGACGAACATTTTGTGTTGTCGAGTATTTTCCGTTTTTCCCCTGAACATCGGTGTTGGGTGTGTGCGATGACGTCCCTGGTTTTGTAGAGAGATGGCGCGGATATTGTGTACCTGCATCGTGGAAGACCCCTTCGATGTGGAACGATTCCTAATCAGTGTCGATTATTTACACTGCTGTGTCCAACACAGATAACACAGATGATCAGGGGTAGATTCGGTGATTGTCAATTGCAATGATGGCTTTGGTTGGTTGTTCTTTTTCACTGTACTTTATGTCCACGGACGCATTCTGACAGCACTTCAGACAGCAGTTGCGCGCCCCGAACTTGTACCATGCCTACATACCATGGTGTTAATCGTACAGGCAGCACTCCAGACAGCTGTACGCTGTAGTCGACAAACATTCATTTTGGTAAAGAAAGTGTAGGACAGGGGGGATGATGCTGCTGTAGTCGAATTTAGCGTGTGGACGGGTAGTTCAGTTTTGGGCACGCAAACGTGCTGCAGGGATGTAGGTGTAGCTCTTCGGGCTTGTTGTGTACCTTTTCTTGCTAGTTTGCGTGTTCTTTAGATCTTCTGCTGGCTCTAGCATGTTTGTGACCACGGACCGCGTCTTTTCTAGATTTTGGGATAGCAACTGACACGAGTTTAATGTGAAGACAACAACGACAACAACAACTACTGCTGTAAGGGTTAACGCTTCCCGGCTCTCTTGGGGTGGGATTGATTTTTCCTTAAATCTCTCCGTTCGAGAGTCACCCGTCCACAGACAGAACTTATCCATCGTAATGACTGGCACCTAACGTACCGATAACCTTGAGTGGTGAACTGATAACGGTGTACGGTCTCGAGAAAATCACATGCAGTCTAAGCAGTCTGTGCCACATTACTATAATAATGTACAAATACCTTTCATGTGTTGTTCGCCAATGTCTCGCGTGCCCTTGTCAGCCCTCACAATAAGCACACATAGGAAGTTTAGAGCGGTGATTGCCACATTTTCCGAGAACTCAAAAAGATCAGCACCCTCCGCAGGAGCCAGCACGTTCAAATCCTCCACTGCTGCCTCCATTGTTGCTGGAAGTGGTAACTGCTGTGTGTACGTGCTGGTTCCGCCGAGCTTTTGGTATGTGACGGGGGGGGCTACGCAGAATCAGAAGGGACCCCCCAACTCGGTTGCCTTACCCCAAAATGAAAATCACATGCGAAATACAGGCACACACCAGCAGCCAAACGGGCTACCCACGCCCTTCTCACCTCGAGACGCCATGGTTTCCTTTGCAAATGGGCGACGAGAGAAGCGTTTGCCTTATTCGCGCGGCCTGCCGGCAGCGATGACGTGTCTCGCGCTATCCAGCTCTCGCTCCTGCGAAGGCTTCGTTGCACCAGCTGGCGCCAGCTTGACCCGCTCTGCCTTGACAAAGGTGCAAGTGAGCCAGACCTTCCCCACCGAGCCCCTCTTTGCCCCAGACTGCGCACCGGAGCGTCACGATCAAGCCTTCCCAGGGCTGTTTCCTCCTGTACACCGGCCTCTGAGATGGCGGGATGAGGACTCGGAGCCGATGAGAGGGCTGTGGCTCTTCGAACAGGTGAAGAGGCTTGTTGTACTTTGGTAGGGTAGCGATGACGTGTGTTTTGTTTCCCCGCGTGCCACCAGCAGCTGCTGCTCGGTTGCTGCCGCGGTACAATCTGCCCTGGTCAATGGAATACCTCGTGCAGCACACGAGCACTCTGGTTGCGTCTAGTAGGGGATCATCCTTGAAGCGTTGTTTCTATTGGTGTTGGAATCGCGGAGAACGAACAAGAAACTGACACCTAGGAGAAAATGACGGCAGACATGTCACGGCGCTCTCCTGTCTCCCATTGTTGCAAAGGCAGCAGTGCTTGGTGCCTCGATGTCACCCTTTGCCTCCTCCCTTTTGCCCCGTCTGTTCTTTTTCGTCTGTACAGCCTCTGCAAACCGTCCCTACCGTGGAGATGTACAGCCGGATGGCCGTGTATGCGTTGAGTGACGGGTCTATATGTGTGTACAACCCCATCGCTCCTACCGAAGAAACCTTGCAAGAGATCAGCGACGCCTTTGGCGGACCAGGTGTGGCACAGCAGCAGCAGGCAGCAGACGAGACACACAACACGATCTTGAATCTTGACATTTTTTTTATATTCAAAAAGAAACATGTTTGGACTATCGACCGTCATCACGATCCAGGGGCTTGGCGTTTGTTTACCTTGGACCCCAGATTAGTGATTGCCATATGCCTATGTGCTGATGGTCCTCCCCGTGGCGAATCAACGCCAGTACCAGTGCTGCTGTAGCGATGTTCCTTGCGGCTACAGGTAGCGGTGCTATCACGAATCAGCTGTTACGACGTTGCTGTACCAGAAAAAATGTCTTGAAGAGGGCAGCTGCTCTCTGTTGAAGTGTTTTTGAGATGTTCAAGTAGAAGGGGCACCGATGACGTCTCTCGCTTGGAATTTCTCACCCAAGCCTGTCGATCGGTTGTGCGTGGCACATGTCTACCCGTGATTGGAAAGGCAGCAGAAGATAGGCAGGAAGCTTCAGTGCTGAGGCAGCAGTGCTTGCTGCCGCGTCGAACGCCCATCAACACCCTCCCTTTTTTGGTCCGCGGGTTCTGTCAGCTCGATTTGCTGAAGACTTGCCCTAGAATTTCGGTTTTGTTCGATTCGCAGCCAAAATCCGCCGCCCCCACGAGAGAGTTGATGGATCCTTGTCCGTCATCTGATTGCTCTCGTGTTGCTCGGTGGGGGGGTTAAATCAGTTGCTAGGGCTCGCGGTTTTTGGATGCTTCCGTCCTCGCATCAAGTATGATACAACAAGTCTTCAACTGAAAGCTGAGCTTAGCGATGGTAAATGTGGTATCACGCAACCGGGTTGTTCTCGCTCGATTGCGTAAGCTAAACTGCCGCCGCACCCCCTCGCGTTTCGACGGCCGCCCAGATCACATTATCGTGCCGACGACAGCATGGAACAACCTCTTGTTCGTAGCCGGATGGGCGGAGCGATTCCCGAGAGCAACGTTCTGGGGGCTAGAGGGGGTTAAGTTGCCAGGGGCGAAGTTCACCAAGGATTTAACAATGGAGGTGAGACAACGGCAACGAGGAAAGAACAGCAGCTCCACAAATGTACCTGCCCTGATGGGGTCGCTGCGGCACTGCGCGTTGTAGTTTTGGTGGTTTTGGTTCTTTCTGGCGCTCGAGAGTTGACCCCGCAGACCTTAAGCCACAAGCCATTCTCCACGGATGTATGCATAGACTAGACGACGCGCCGGGATGGACGAAAATTAATCAACATCAACACGTCTACACAAGGAGAGTGTGTCGGGTATTTTTTTCCTTGTGAATCTGCTGCGCGCGGGGCACTGCTTGTTAGGGACGACGCTTCACGCTAGAGAGGATTTTTTTGTGTAGACGGATCACATCTGATCTTGTACGCGATCAAGGCCGCTTGTCGTCTTCGATCCACACCCCGACGAAATCAAGCACCGCGCCACAACTAAAATACCCATGCAACCAGAGATACCGCTGTGCAGCGGCTTGCGCGCTGGGGGGGGGCGCGAATGGAACTTTGTCGGCAGAAAAGTTGCTAAATATAATTCTACACACGAAGAACGTTGTTGAAGTGTTTTGTTCTCTTCCTCTCGACACGGGAGGCTGAGGCTGTGGCTGCTGGGTGTGATTTCGCTCATGACTTGGAACCCCCCACAGATAGGCATCTACTCCATAGGCATTTGCGGGTACGACAATACTGTAATTGGCTTGCCCGGGGAGATACCCCTAATAATATTATTAGGGTAAAAAAAGACTGCTGTACAGCCCAGCTTACACGGGTGCCCTGCGGAGTGGCCTCATGAAAGCACCATAATAGATAGCTTTTGTATGATAATGTTCGTTTTTGAGGGGTGGTGCAAATGACCAAAGGCATGGCGAACACGAATATTTAATGTTGCGCCCTCTCTTTGTGTTCGGCTTGGTTTCGCTGAGGACAACAGCTGTTATGGGGGCAGCTAGCTAACTTGGCACCCGCTCGCCAAGAGAGCTGGCTAAACCAACTGGCTCCATTTCACGGCGGTGACGTTTTCCATCCTCGAACAGCCCACACACCCGACGTGTTTTAACTCGAAAAGCCCACTGAACCGCACTGAACATATTTCAATTTTTCGTGATGATAATAAAAACAACACGCGAACCACTGTCAAACATGTACCGTATGTGCATGTATACCATCTACACATCGCAACATCTTGTCAGACTTGTCAGATACCGGTACCTGGTGCTTGTACACAAGATTTCTTGCTGAGCCTGTTTCATGTTTTTCCCCGGACGCTTCGTCTTGTCCAGTCGTATCGTACATCAGTAGACCCTCTGTAAGGCGGGTTATGTCATATATGGCGGGTGCCCTCTACAGCACTAGTATGGGGCGGCTGAAATTGGCTGGCACAGACGGAATAACCAGGTTATTCTACACATTGAATGGGCTTTGTGTATCGATTTCCTGAGTATGTATTTCTTTATCCGAAAAATTGAATACCTGCGAAGTCTGAACGTGTATTTTTTCCTAGTTCGTGCATATATCACATGTGTTGGTATGCATAGATATGTCAGTGTAGCATACCGGTACGGATGTTAAAGAAGCACTAACACTAACACTAGGCAGAGACCGGGCCGTTTTTTTTTGCGAGCACAAACACAAACACACACAAACACAAACACATCTAACACCAGGATCAACAAGGACATCAAAATCAATTACGTTTCCTGCAGGATGCTCTCTTTCACACTCCAGACGGCGGAATATCACCTGACTTGCCATGCGATGCGTGTCGAGCATGGGTGTGCGACAAATGAGAAGTACTTTTGCACATTTTTTCGAGGCGTTGTTGTTCAACCGTCAGTTTTCCCCCCGCCGTCTGCTGCCGGTGCTTTTGTCGGCTGCCAGTCTTTCCCGGAGTCGTGGAAGGCGGAACTGGATGTATCCATCTTGGAAGGGAACGGAATTTTCCGAGAGTGTTTCTTGCTGCACCGCACAACGAGGAGTGTCTTCGCGATGGACAGCTTCGTGGAGATGGGGGAAGGCAACATCCCGAACCCGGTGCTCCGGGCAGCCTCCAAAATGTCTGGGAATTTCGGTCGGGTGAGTGTTGTGGCGCTATGGCAGCTTCTCGACAGGACGTACGTGAGACCACAGACCATGACCTTCTATTTAGGTGTTGTGTGGTGATGTTGGTGATGCAATGCTCTTTCCTAACCCGTTGTCGCGTGCAGGGGACCAATCAAAGTCCCAAGGTTGTGTGTTTGGCTCGTGCAGGCGTGTGTAGACATGTGGACATTGGACAACACCTTCGTTTCCTTGGACTAGGCAACACGCACACCTACCCCAGTCCGTCTCGCTGCGAGAATAGGCGCTGCCTTTTTGCAATGTGTTGGCGACAAGCTCGAGTGTCCGGTTTGTCTTTGGTGCCCCCGGTCGTTTCCGCGGGGCCCCCTGCCCTCGTCCTACCCGCTTCGCTATTTCCGTCCGTAACGACATGTTTGGTGTGTTGTCGCGCTGCCGTTGTGTCTGTCCCCTCAGCCGGTGTGCCCGACCAAGTCGTTGTTGTGGAACCGCGAGAAGTGCAAGTCGGCCATGTCGAGGGTGTTGGACTGGGACTTCGACAAGGTGTACGCCAACCACGGAGAGTGCCCGATACAGGACGCTAAGGAAGCCATTCGTGGCGAGTTTCAGTTCTTGTGGGACTGAGTGAGGCGGAGTGGCGCGCTCATTACGCTCTGGTATCTCTTGTACCACACTTATGAGGAGTTTTTATCTTCAACTGGTTCTGGAGCGTTTTTATTCCTTGTCGGAACAGACGAGTTTGTGTCCGACCCTGCCGGGAGTTCTTGAGGGGCTCCGCGGATATGGGTTGTTGTACTTGCCTTAATGGGTTGGTTCCCGGGGTGCACGTGGCCTGGGCCCCGCGACTATAGCCCGATTTGGTGGGTGACTGACACGTGTTTTTGGTGAGCGGGTGATTTCACGCCCCCCGCTCGGCGGTATCGGTGCAGGTATGTGTAGTCGTGTTGCCCAACCCTTGTAAATGATGTGAACTGGGTGATGTATGGCCCCTTGTTGGACGTGGGCTTATACAGCCGGGAGGCGCGATTGCTCGCGGGACATTACGTCCTCTCTTGTTGAAATGATGGATGAATTGCCCGAAACATATCCGCGGAAATCCGCGCAATTTGTATCGTTTTGGTTGATCACCACCCCGTGCTGGAGTGGAATGGAAGCATGTTGACTCCGGCAGGCAAGGGTGGTTCTGGTTGGTTCAGCCGCCAAGTGTGTTGGATTGGATTGGGTGAAAATATTGTGCTTCTCGTTCGACTAACCGATCGATGGCGTGGAGGTTTGGGTAGATGTTGTTGTTTGTGGTGCTTCCTTCTCTAATTCTCTAATTGTTATATTTTTGTGTTCCTGTTGGATGTGGGGGATGCAACTGACTTTTTTTCCTGTGAGGCTGGTGCGTTTCTTACGGTGAGATTGCCGTCCGTCGCACGGTAGGGGTGCGATCGCGGAATGGCTGAGAGTAACCTGGTGACGTGACTGAGAGTAACCTGATGTTGGCAGAGCGTGAGATGAGGTGTTTGAAACGGTGGTAATGGTCGTGTGGCAAAAGATCTGTCCGCATCTACACATACGGACGTTGCAAAATTGCGGATAGATGGCTCCAACTGTATGGTGTATTGCTTGTGGGGATGGGGGGACATTGTATGGTTTATTATTGACGGATGACTCGAGGTACCATGAGATGGTAGGTGACAGAGGAGAGCGATGCAAACGGCGGTATCTTTTTTTTTTTGTGAATCATGTAACATTGGATGCTTTTAACACATTGGAGGAAACAATGGATTGTTTGGTCCCAAATCACTGGACGCGATCTTGAGGCCCATGCCCACCTTTGAGAAATATCACGAAATGTCTTGCAAGCGCCGCAACCTCCGTGACCACTGGGGTCCGTGCGGTTTGGTGGACATCATCACACGTTTTTCATACCAATATTGTCTAGAGACCATGTGAGGTCACGTGCTCCCGATAGCCGTTCGTTGCTGAAAAGCATGGCACCGCGGCAAATTGGAACACCACATACACAAGTTCTAATGCAAATGCGGAGTCCGTCTCTTATTATAGTGGATATGCATACATGCGTCGCCTATTATTCGGATTTGTGTCGCCTATTCCAATCCGAATAAGAGTGTCTCCAGATGGAAACAAAGTCATTCTACTTGATCTTGACAGCGTTTTTTTTTTGTGGCGGCGGCCGATTTCTCTCAGCTCGCGAACGATTCGGGCACGCGGCCGTGCCTTCGCGCCCTACGTCTCGAAGGCCCCTTTCCAAATTTCAAACAAGCGACACCGGTGCCAAACGCAAGCACGCATTGTGTCTTCTTGCTCTGCCCACACTAGCATCCTGTTGACGTCTTCTTATTGTCTGCATTTTTGTCTTGTTCGCCGCGGCTGAATTCTCTGATGAGCTGAACAACGCTACCGACGGCAACGAGGCTCTCGAGGTGTCTCCGGACACACAAGCTCTCGCCAACGCGCTAAGCTTGCTCCCTTTTTTCCGTTGGGATTTTACGGGATGAGAAGCGCGGATGGATCTCAATTAAATGGAGCACAGCCTCTCTCTTCTGCAAATATATTCACGCTCCTCCTCCAATCATCGCTAATTTATCTATCTCTGGATCGTCAGATCTCTATCTATGCGCGCGTGTGTAGACATTGACACATTTATAACATGCACAAGCTGTACATACATTCCAGTATTTACCTTTTTTCTTGACACCGCCGTTCTTTAGCATGCATACCAACACTACATGGGTGTTGCCTATCTATATGTCCATTTCTGCTACCTGCATGTATGTATTTTTATTATTAGCATCGACCGCGCTAACCGGCTGACCAATGAAAAGACGTCAGTTTCAGTGCGGTTGAAAGCACAAAACACTTCTAAATGCCATTAACTGGGACCCCGTGAGGGGGCGGCATGGGGGAGACTTAACCTATTCTCCGGATCAAAGACAGAAACGGTAGCAATAGAAGAAAACTGCACACGTCTACGAAAGCTGCTACCTTGCACTCGATTTCGTTTTGGAGTGCGTTCACCGTCATCCTCCTTCCTTCCAACTCTATCATTCTCATGCTCGTTTTCACGGCAACTTCTCGACATTTCGCCTCTAGCCCTGCGTCGTTTGTGCAATCTCCCACACTACTGACAGTTTTGTTAAACCGCCCATGGGACACCCATGGGGTCACCCATGGGTCACCCATGAACCGTCCATGGGCATTTCATGGGCCGCCCGTGGGCACTTCATGGGCCGCCCATGGGCTGACCATTGCTCACCGTTGGGGCACTTCAACCTAGAACTTAGCCACCAGCGCCAACCTATGTAGCACGTATCGTGTGGGCTTGGGGTAGGGTTACGGCTAGCGTTAGCGTTAATAGCCGCTGTAGCGCCCGTCCCAAAGCAGATACTCTATCTACTGTTTAGGAGTACACTGGTTAGGTTGAAGGGCTCTCATTGGCCACCCATGGGCTTCCAATGGGTTGCCCATGGGCGGCCCATGGGCTACCCATGGCCACGCTCATGGGCATCTTTTCAGTCTTGTTCACTTCACAGCTTACTTGCAGAGTTGAGATGTTGAGGGATAGTTGGGGAGTGAGCCTGGTGGGGCTCGCAACACCTCCTGACCTCGCTACAATTAATAGAAAGAAAACATAGCCAGCCTCAGAGAAATACTACACGTACGAGATATAACCTCAGTCGATCAACAATCCATTCATTCACGAGCTCCTCGCTACATGTTACAGCTACAGCAGTAGTCTATGTATTGTTTTACCAAAGATCACTTTCATACCGCATCTACTAGGTAGTCTACGTATCATTGCATACAGCAATCCTAGACTGCTAATAATATATAAAACCATACACTATCTTTATTACACACATCCTACAGCAGTAATCCGCTCTATCTCAACACATCTGCGCCTTCATCGCCTTCATCGATTGGATCGGGTCGTCGTCCGAGTTGCTGTCCACGTCGCTGCTAGACTCCCTCTGGTTGGTCTTGGTGACTTGGTCCATCGCCGCTAACAGGGAAACGTTCCGCGAGATGTGCGAGATGTGCGAGATGCGCGAGCAATACGTCGTCGGTGTTGATCACGGACGGCAACGGCCAAAAAAACGAAACTACACCGGACGAACTCACGACGCTTACTTTGCGTGAATAATGATGCAGCAGTGCGAACACCTTCCGCTCCTTACATATGTCTAGCTAGTTGTGTACCAAGTACGGTGAGAAGTGTATGTGCACATAAGCGGCAAACGTGTAGTGTGCACCGAAGAGGAGTTAGCAGGTGGCGCCAGAGATGGGTATTAGTCTATATAGTCTATATATAGTCTATTTAATAGTCTATGTTTGTCTAACACGTTGCATCCTCAATCTTGTGTACGTACTTACCATCAACCGGTATGGATTTTCGTTTATCGAGCATTCCCTGGATGAGATCCGCCCTGTTGTCGCACAACGCAATGTCCACTCCCAACGACTTCGACATCCGGCAGAGTTCGTCCAGGGGCTTGGATTGTAGCAGAGCTCGCACCGCGGCTCCCCCAACTTCGGGGTAACGATCGAGGATGGAAGGCTCAGAAGAACACAGGACGCCGAAGGCTTTGACAAGTCTGTCGTCTAGCTGCGGGAGGAGAAGACCCTCCGGTGGGAGCATGCAGACCGACGACACGATGCTCAGTAGGTATTCCACCACGCAGATCCCGTTGCGTGTGCGCGCCGCGCAGGGGTCGGTCCAAAACGACTCGAATGACAGCATGACGTTCCGGAAAACCCCATCGAAGACGTATGCCTTGGCCCTGGCCGGCGGCTCTTGCTGTAGGGTAGTACAAGAGGCGGACAGAAGGAACCCAACGGCGCAAGTTGTAGAAAATCGACTAGAGCGTGCGCAGGACATGTATCTCTGGTACACTGACGATCTCGCCGGCCATTGGGACTTCTCACTGACTACACGGGCGCACCGAGGAGTTATACCTAAACTAAACACCCTGTGTGTACCTGGCATATGCGGGCAAACCAGAATCGGACAGACGGGGTTCGAGCGCAAACCTGGGCGTGCTTGGTGAAGCTGGCTGCAATGGCGATACAGCCGGCCAAAAAATGGACACGCAAACTGTCCGAGTGGGGCTCACGGATAAGTATCTCCATGCAACTCTCCTTCGCTTGGTCAAGCAGTTGGGGTTCCCCACCCCCGGTTCCCGTGAATTCAATGAGGCACATCCTGGCCTTCTTCAACGAACGCTGAAGAGATTTTCCCTGCGTTCAGTAGGGGAATGATGAGGAAAGTTGAGGCATGCGGGAAAGCGAATAAACAAGCGCTAGATAGGCCGAGACCTTGCAGTTAGTTTCGCGAACAAAAAAACAAAACATCAGTAAACGCTGCAAAGCTGCGCTGAAACACACACAGAGAGAGATTTCTCGCACTCACGTCCTGTTGCTGGTGATGACTCCTGACGTACTCTTCAAAAGCTTGCAGCCTCGATGACACCTGTTGGAAACATTTCGAATTTTCTCGCTGGGCCTTGTCGATGCACGAGCGCAATGAGGCCATATCCTCATGCAAACCTTCGAGAGACCTGTAAATCACGGCCGTCCCATGGCGCACGGCGTAATTCACTTCCAGTAGCCCGTTGGAGACAGAATTCCAGATCCCGTCTACTTCCATGACAGTTCCAAGGTCCGTCCGCACAGCAGCCTTCCCGCGAGTCAACTGCGAAACCATCACGTGCCGCAAGACATCCGACAAAAGAAGCAGGGTAGAAAAGAAAGGGCACCGGCCAGGCGATCAAGATTCAGTTGGAGTCGATACGTCGGCAATTAAACGCACACACGACAACGTTTCCGTATTTCATGTGCCGAAAGAAGCCTCCAGTCGCTTGCAATAGAGAACCTACCTCTATTCATCAATTTTCGTCAGCCATGAAGTTGCAACAAGGAGCAGCCAGCACCAACACTTGTGTTGCCGTGGAGATCATGTGCACCCCCATCTCCGGGACAAACCTTCGACCAACAGGGGGGGCTGTCAAGGAATAGACCACTCAGCCACCCGGTAAAGGTGAACCTACTACGTGGCTCAGAGGACACCTAATAACACTCTCCAGCACTGAAACCTAGTGGTGAGTGATCCAGGACCCACCAACGTGGGGGTCACAGACTTCTTTTACAGACGGCAGGGGATGCTTTTTCCAAGTACAAGCAGGGTTATCCTATTACCTGGCAGAGAGGACACCTTATCACAGGACGCGGGCGCGAGAACTTTGCTTGGATTATTTCCAAGCCACGCGGCCCAACAATAATGTTGTGTCTCGCCGCACCTCGCGGGCAAAGCGCTTTTGCTGCCAAAGAGTCGATGCAACTTCCTCCACAACTAACGCTCTCTGCTCCATTGTCGGTCACCGCTCTGCCATTTGCTCTCTCTCCTTTTCTCATTCGGACCCCGGCGCCCTTTGGGGGGGGGTGTACTCATAGTCGTACTCATAGTCGTGCATGCCGTAGTCGTTAGACCATTGACCTCGCATCCATACAAAGCCGGGAATGAGCATGCCGGGTTCTCACCGGACCAGGCTCTCACATCACCAAGCACGAAGCACCGTGAGGTATTCGGCGAGTCGCATGAAGGGTGAGCTGCATCCTGCTAAGGGTGTTCGGCATCTTGTGCTGACTTCCTGACTTCCTTGGGTACGGACGACAGCTGCGTATGACTTAATTTCTTCTCTGGTGCTTTCAAACCAGAGACAGTTCAAAGCACTGGGTAACTGCCTCGAGGGTACTTGGCCAATTCAACACAACGTGCATTTATCCCATTTGCGCGGAGTGAGGGTTCTCGACCCCGCACAACATAATCTAGTCGACCACCATTATGGTTACCGCAAAATAAAATAAAAAAAGGGAGGGGGGGGGCGTGTTTTCCACTCTTTAGTTCAACGTTAGCCAGCAGGATACAATACACTAAGCCCGTCGACAGGATTCTATCGCGGTTAGTTCAAAGCATTGGGCTTTTTGTTCATGAGATATCAAAGCATGTGCACCAAGGACCGAGGTTCTGCCTGCCCTTTGAAAAACAATAATCGGACCACTTCGATGAATTTGTGTGCCATACCCACGCCTGGAGACGGAAGTTTAGCGATGTCATTCACACCACTGCATATTCACTCGACAGAGCCGGTTGTGTGTATCACCGCAGTCTCAGACACCGGAATAGCAGAGCTACTTCTGATGCTGGCCGTCTGTGAGCGACTGCTGCGTGTGTGTTCATCGACATGATGGCTTCCCTGGGGTCTCAACCCTCCGACGCTATCCCTGCCCTCCCCCCAGGAAATTTCGGGCTGGAAATCTCGAGAGACCCATCTTCGAAGCCCCAGCAACTCCAAACCTATGCATCACACGTACGGGCATGCCATCACACCCAAGCTAACTTCCTTTCCGCCATCACAAGATCGGGAAAACATCATTCCCCGATTCACCTTGTCTGTCTGCAAGTCGGCGGCGTGAATGCCCACAAGTTCTTCCGCTATGGCCTGGCTGGCAGACTGTTGGCCGGTGGTATTTCCCGCCAGGTCACGCCGTGCCTGAAGAGCGGATGCGGACATGCATGAAGGGCGAGACTACTGTATGCTTGCTGAACGAGGCCAGTATCGCACCTAGGCTTCGGGCCAAGCAGGCCCCGGTGGAGCAATCCCGCTCGATGTACACAACGTGTAAAATATAAAACATGAAACAATACTGTTTAAGAAAAGGCGTACTCAAGAAGCTTATCAAATGGGGCAAACTCAGCAGTTTGCAGGTACGGATATCTGAATGTTTCTTCTTCTAAGTGGCACCAATAGTACAGCACTGTTCGCGTTGACTTGGACGTGGTTTGGGCACGAAATAAATGTAGGAAGGAACAAAACTTCAGTCATCCATACCGGCCTTCCGCACCTGACTTCGATGCTCGGCGAACTCTTTTGACAGCCCGGGGATGGCCCGGTTCCGTCGCATCCTTGCCTGGATCCAGCCACTGTGCGCCTTCATCGCAAGTTCCGCCCCAACCGCAATGATCGCTCCTTCCGTGCTCTCACATCCATCACAGAGATCTATTTTTACTTCGACGTTTGTGTCTCCTGTGTTCTTTGACTCGGCACCTCGACGTTTCGAACTAAGGTACGCCTTCCTCATGGCTGATCCAGCTAAGAACAATGCCGAAGCAAGAGGGAGGACCTCCATGGCATTGCAGGGATCCTACCCAGACAACAACAGCGGCGAAGCAGATAGATAGCACATGTATGTGAGCCCTTAGCTGCGGACAACTGTTGAAGAGGGACAAGATACAAACAATAGGGGTTTGGTGGGGACGAAGAAGATCAAAGTGCCACGTCACAAGGGTTTGGCCGGTGCACTTTCGAACGGGAATCGATAAAGCACAATACGCAAGGGAGAGAATGCAGATGTGCCAGCCCGGGTGGGCATTTCTGTAGAAAGCAAACTCAGCGATGTCACGGCCCTGTGATTTTCAGAGGGCTCTAGATGAGTGCTTTGATGGCTACTCCAAGCGCTTTCAACAGCGCAGAAATCATGAGAAGGAGATAGACAGATATGCTAACCAACGTACGCCCCACGGAAAACTCCACAAAGAACGGTATTCCAGATAGCAAGTGGCAACCTGGGAGCGTACGGCGGCAAGCAATTGTGAGACTGCGGGTCGAGAGTTACAAAACTTGGTCAAGGAGAGAGAGAGAGAGAGAGAGAGAGAGAGAGAAGCAACACCCACACACAAATGCGAAGTACGAAGCACAGAGACGAGGATCATTTTCGATAGGAGAAAGGGAGACATCATGTACGTGTAGACCGCCAACCCGATGTGATACAATATACATTGGCAGATCCGAACTATGGCATACCCGATGTATGCCCAATTCCATCCGGTGAGCCAGACATGCTGTGATTTCAGAACGTTTTCGGCGCGGCCTGGACTACGGATGGATTTACAATAATACTGCGGTAGAAGGGCCCGAGAGTTTCCGGCTTTCGAGCAGAGGAAGCTGTGATGGTACTTTATTTGGCAAGTGCTCGGCCCCTTTCGGGTCACCAAATCGCCATCATACCATTTGGGGCGGGTGGTCATTGCTCTGGTCTTGTCGAAGTGGCGACAGTTCGGTGGCAACACGAGGGCTAGGTCCAGGTAGAAACCAAATAACCGATCGTGGTCCAAACACGCCACCGCCACGATAACCAAGCCCTCGCACCATGTATCGGGACATAACTGGCACGGACGTGCTCGGGACATGGGCCAAGTCTGACGGCGACTGGCACCCAAGGGCGGAGCACTGGCCTCGAGTGAGAGTAAAATCAACTTAGTGCAGTAGTTGGGGGATTTCTGGAAATTCAAATGTTCTGCGTGCACTTAACGGCGGCCCTAGTACGTGATTTCAAACCCAAGACGACAAGGCCCCAAAATCAAAAAGCTCGTCCCCGGATGGGTAGAGGGCGCCAAGGTTCCGAGGAAGGCGTCGAAAAGTAAGTCTTGGTGCTGAGATCAGATGGTGGGACTCAGATACCGATTACTTCGTATTTCAAGGAACCACACGCCGGTGATGACACCGTGGGGTTCAAAATCACCGGGTGTGTTATCCTTTGGCGGGGGGGGGTGTTATACTATGTAACCCGGGTGACAAAGTGCAGCTATTGTAGCAGGAGCCACACTGGGGGTGTGATCAACAAGGTGTGTGATACTACTTCTGCACGCCCACAGGGGTGTGGTAATGACGGGGTGCCATGAATAGGAGGACTACCTGCAACGAATTGCCACTACTGCTGCCGCACATGCGAAATTGAAATATTACGGCGGTGGCTGCCGTATTGGCGCCTGGTGCTGTGCCAGTTGGTGCTGCTATCGATTTAACAGCCGGCTGGAGGACTAGGTGTAGAAGCAGTTTGCTCGGGAGAAGGAACGAGATGATGTGTCGCGCCTGCACTACTGCCATCGAAGCAGGGGGCGTGTTGTCTTGTGTAACCCGGGTGATAATTTGCCTCCTTGAAAAAAAGGCCAAAATATATCACGGGGGTGTGGTTTCTATACGATATCCAGGGCTGCAGAAGTGGCCCAAAGTCGGCGATCCAAAACGTTTACTTAGTGTTGGTAGTACTCGCCCCGCGGCCCCAAACCTCCTTGCAGGTGTGCAAGTAGCATGAAGACCCGCGGTTTGAGGGTTAGGTCTCTTCGGCGATTACAAACCGTCGACGACACAAGATACAACCGGTACCGAAGACACCACACCCCCCTTGAGAAAAGCACCCCGGTGACAAAAGTTTCAAGCGAAGAAAAATACACCCAAAAACCTGTTCGCTCGTGGAAGTAGATGGTCGAGGGTAGCCGTTACGTTCGACGCAGTTGGGGTGTACCTGGAGGGTATTGTGACGAGAGGCTGTAAATGATAGTACGGAGTCCCCGTTTTCTTTCCAAGTGTTGGGGCACTCCTCCACCTCTCTCCCTCTCCCCTCCCTTGCGCTTTCAAAGGTTCGGAGGATCGCTGTGTGTTTGTTGCAATGTGCCTACGTCCACACATTGAGTTCCTCGGAGTCACCACTTGTTTTGTGCACCTTCGGCTGCATAACAACGGATGGTTGCATAACAACGCAGGGTGACGACGTGCGTGCGAGTTATATTTTTCAACAGTTTTATATTTGGAGAGTTTACGCCCGGTCTGTAGATACTGCAACATGTGACTTAATTGTGGTTGTCCGTTCTTGATGCAAGAATTGTTTGCGGGTATAGGGTGCCGTCTCACCAGGAAAAATAGTTACAGAGAAGCAATCAGCTGCTCAGATGCAGCATTACGCTTGAGGTGAAATTATTTCGGTCTAGCAGGCATTCTTACGTTGGCACCGACAACAAGTCTCGAACGGAGAAATGTGTTTGCACACCGGCCCCGGATAACAAGTGTCTCTGCGTGAGGTGTGGCTGTCGGAAAGCAGGAGGCAATGCTCGTTGGCATGCGTGTGCAGGACTAACTGTGAACTGCTTCGAGCGTCGGCAACTGCGGCTCGGCTTGCTGCAGCTACGTCCACCGTTCCTGCTACATCTGCCATCGTAGCCGGAGCCCCGCGCTATCTTTTGGCGGCAAGGGCCGCTAGTGAGCAGGCAGCTGCACCGGACGATTGGACAGGGACCGAAGCGAAGGAGGAGGAGGAGGAAGAGGAGGAAGAGGAGGAAGAGGAAGAGAAGGACGAAGCGAGGGATAAAATCCCAGAGTGGGAGTCCGATGCGTACGACTACAGCCATGCCTTCAGCGACTGGGGATCAGACGTCAGAGGGCGGGCCGGATGTAAGGGGGGGGGGCGCGGGGGGAGTCGACGACCTATGGGGGGCGACGGGCTGACTGGTTTTGAGGGTTCAAGAACCGTGTTGAGGTGTGTGTCTGGTTCCGTTTGTATTTACCGACTTCTCCACCGTATACTGGGGATGGGACCCACAGATTTGGGTGGTTGTGGTCCGAGTTAATTGTCCCAGCACGTACGGCGGCGCTCAGAACGCAGACCGAAATCCCGCCCAGGTGACCTTAGTCCACACCAACCAACTCCCATGTTTACCGCACGCACTTTCCGTTGTATGCCTTTGCTGCATTTGCTTGTGTGTGATTAAACGGTGGCAGTGACAACGACAGGTTCCCCCGTGCGAAATAGCTTGGTGGAGAAGGAGGAGACCTTGAAGAACAGGGTCTGGGGAGGGTGCGCCTGTGTGAGGGTGGGCGGGAACCTCACGAGCTGGATAGATGGGTGGCACCACCACCGTTCGCCCCCCTTTGCTGCGATCCTTGCATTTGCTCCGTTCGTGATAGTTCTGCTCTTGCTGCTGTGGTGTACAACATTTGTGGAGTTACGTGTGTCGTGGTCAATAACACGCTGCACGTTTTGCAGGCAAGGACTGCTCTCTACGTCGACCATACTACTGTAACCTGCGTGTGTGACGTCCCGGAGTCAGTTTATTATGTTTGTCTTTCTTTTCGTCAGTTTTGGCGCCGTTGACTGTATGTAGTGATTTGACTGCGTTTACCATCGGGCCGACGTTGAAGCAGTCTTGCTTGTATATACATAGTGTGGAATAATGCTCACCCCACCTTAAGTAAACGCGTCATACAAAAGTTTGCTTTTCTTGTACGGTAATGTTGTACGTGTACTTCATCGGCGGGGAAGTTCTCGTTCCACCCTATCCTATTCCACGTACATGACGCTCTCTTTATGTGAAGAAATGCGTGCGCCCTGCACAAACTTCCGGATACATTTACTTCGTTCTTTTCAAGGTGTAGATTTATCAGCGGACGGGTTTCGCTGTTCCCGGGAACACAAATCACCCTTTGCGCGTTATTTTTTTGTCTCTTGTTCAAACGAGGACGGGATCGACAAAAAATATGATCGCGTAAGACAGAGAGAGGAACGGACTGTCTCATTGGTCCCGCAGGTCTCGTTGGTACAGATGGGTCCAAGTTCAAAATTTGGTGCCCGCCGATTACGCCTACTCGGCACGTACTGCATGATGCAACCTAACTCAAAGTGCTGTACAATCGCGAAAGAGGCAGATACAAGATCGAGGCACCCTGCAGTAAACAGACTTGAGACACCTAAGCATGCCGCCTGCACGTGGATGCCATTTTTCACCCAAATCCGTCCTTCCCGCCGGCTACGTGGAACACGTCAGTGCGAGATTTTGACGTCTTGCTCTCCACCCAACAGCAGTGCGCATTCGTGCCAAGTTTTGTGCCACTTGGCAACGTATTACATGTACATTTACTGTAGTAGCGCGTTCTCGTGTTCGCCAGGAAGTGCCGTCGGCTCGGTTGGAGGTTCCGCTTGGGTGGACTTGAGGTACTTCACTGCTGAGTTCTAGCGCTGTGGTGTATGGAGTTTCATCGTACTGGAGTACTTGGGTCTCTCGCTAGCTATTGGAGACATCTACAGTCGTAGTGTTGCCTCATCTTGGAAGGAGTACATCACGTTTTTTTTATTTTGTCAGTATGACTCAACGAATCCATCTCCATCAATCTTTATAGTCTAAGATAGAT